ACACGTATGTAGTCTTCACCGCCTAATCGCCTACTCGCCTACTCGCCTACTCGCCTACTCGCCTAATCTATACGTATATTTTTCATTTAGACTAATCGCCTAATCGCCTAATCGCCAACTATGAACGCTCCATAATCGCCTAATCGCACGTACGATCGCCAACTATGAACGATTAGGCGATTAGTCTATAATGAAAAATATACGTATCGATTAGGCGATTAGGCGAGTAGGCGAGTAGGCGAGTAGGCGATTAGGCGATTAGGCGAGCAGGCGATTACCAGTTTGTCTAAATTGAATACAACACTTATTCTTCTCTCATCGCCTACTCGCCTACTCGCCTACTCGCCTAATCGCCTAATCGATTTGTATACTTTTCATTTTGAATCATCGCCTACTCGCCTAATCGCCTAATCGCACGTACGATCGCCAACTATGAACGCTCCATTACGTCGCAAGATGGGTTTTTGACGGTGATCTCGAAGAAGCGATTACGATAAGGAGGGGCCGCATCGGGGAATATATGCGCCACACGAAGCAGTTACTTGGCTGCCAAGGAAGCGAAGTGTGGCGCTTTCACGACGAAAGGTGCCTGGTTGCTGAGCAGGACTTCCGAAGCACTCCGCCCCAAAGCGTTACGCCCACTAGTTCAGTTGGTGACTTGGGCGAGCTGTTTGCTGTTGGCTTTTCATTTTGGAAGATTTTTCCCTTTGAGCGGCTATCCTCTCTTTATATAAAGCAGAAGTTTGGTGTGTTTGTCCGTCTGTCTGTCTGTTTGTAACCAATAGGCTCGCACGCTACGTAGATCCCAAGAAAACAGTTAGAGCATGGTCCCGGATGGGTAGGAAGTTGCCCCTAGGGCGTGTAGGGTGAAGGCAAGGGCTTGGTCAGAAAGGACATGGTAGTGGGCGGAGCCCGGTCAGGTGAGCGGGGCTTACGCCTCCACTAGATTCTCAAATGCGTACTTTAAATCGCTGCCCACCCCTGCGATTGTTCTGCAGGACGCGTTTCCTCCCTATCTTCGTCTTCGAAGCAAATCAGCAAGCACCTCCCATTTAAATTTCAATTTTGGATAGGTAACATATCATTTGCATTACGCTAACGAGACACTTAACAAACACTTTCTCAAAATAATTTGCAAATGAATTGCTTTTTTCGTGCTTCGATTTGCGAATGTAGTTGCTCGCCTACAGTACCATTCACAATATGCCATAAACATATCGCATATATTCTGACATTTCTTTTCAGCCTTTGCCTCCAAGGAAAGCTGGCTATGATATGTTTGAAGTGACACTTATCTGGAGATCAGGAGGCACTCCTATTGGGCTTCTCATTCACAGGGTAGGCCAGGTATTGGCTGTCAAATTAAGAAGCACAAACAAATCTTCAGAATTTTGAAGCGAGTAGAATTCATCATATAAAAATCATTCGGTGGGGAATTGTGGTGGTCAGAACGGTGCGTTCATGTAGAATACTGCGTAGGCTACAGCTTTCAAAGGATAGATTGGCGCATGTTTGAGTGTGTGATTTTGATTATTTTGGAAACGGTTTTTGAAAGTATGCCATGTTTGCTGTTAGCGCCCTTAATTCTTATGCCGACAGTGCAGTTCCTTTGTTTAGCAACGTCAGCCATCGATTAGTGCCCAAGCTGAACGCCCTCGCTATCTGATTCTAGCCGCTATAGATAGAGCAGAGGGTCAACACACCTATGAGACTCGCCCCTCAATTTTTCTCCACTGCTGCACCTTGTGGCAGTTTACTTTCATTCGCAGCGGACGACAGATTCATAGTAACATCTACTTCTCAAAAGTATGCCCCGGATCGCACCTTTTGAGTTCTGATGTGACTTTACTCCTGAA